GTATGGAGTGATTGCTGTGTTCATATTAAGGACCAGTCCCTCCAGAATCTTCCAGGTGTAGTTTATGATATCTCTCTCTCACCTGCGCTCTAGTGAGTACAAGTCAAGTGCTTCCAGGTGCTCCCAGTAGTTAATTAAGGTGTTTGATGGAACTTATACGTGCAGTAAAGGTTCTCCGTACATTCTCTAGTTCTGCAATTTCACCTGCCTTGAATGGGGATGTTAATGTAAAGCAGTATTCCAGCCTAGAGAGGTTACCTGGAGGTTTTACTGGGGATCAACGCCCCCGCGGCCCGGTCCATGACCAGGCCTCCTGATGGATCAGGGCCTGATCAACTAGGCTGTTACTGCTGGCCGCACGCAGTCCAACGTACGAGCCACAGCCCGGCTGATCCGGCACTGACTTTAGGTATCTGTCCAGCTCTCTCTTGAAGGCAGCCAGGGGTTTATTGGCAATTCCCCTAATGCTTGATGGGAGGCTGTTGAACAAGTGATTTAAAAAGAATCATTGGCTTAGCATCTCTTGTCTTGAACGTTCTCAAGTTTCCTAGCAGATGTTATAGTGGCATTGTTGTGGTCCTTGAAGGTGAGGTCTTCGGACATTACTACACCCAGGTCTTTCACATTACTTTTCCGCTCTATTGTGTGATTGGAGTTTCTCGTATACTCAGTCCTAGTTATTATTTCCTCCAGTTTTCCATAAAGGAGTAGTTGGAATTTGTCTTCATTGAACATCATATTGTTCTCTGTTGCCTCATTGGAAAACTTAGTTTATATCTTCTTGGAGCTTTGACGTGTGCTCAATGGATGACACTCTCATGCAGATCCTAGTATCGTCTGCAAAAAATGATACAGCGCTGTGGTTTACATCTCTGTCTATGTCTGATATGAGAATAAGGAACAGGATAGGTGCGAGTACTGTGCCTTGTGGGACAGAGCTTTTCACTATGGCAGCATATGATTTAACTCTGTTTACCACTACTCTTTGTGTGCGATTGCTTAGAAAGTTGAAGATCCATCTGCCTACTTTGCCGGTTATCCCTTTAGCACGCAATTTGTGTGCTATTACACCATGGTCGCCCTTGTCAAAGGCTTTTGCAAAGTCTGTGTATACTACACCCGCATTCTGTTTGTTTTCCAGTGCATCTAGGACCATATCATAGTGGTCAAGCAGTTGCGAAAGGCAGGAGCGACCTGCTCTGAAACCATGTTGCCCTGGGTTGTGCAATTTTTGGGAGTCCAGGTGGTTTGCTATCCTGCTTCTTAGAACTCTTTCAAAGATTTTTATGATGTGGGACGTTAACGCTATTGGTCTATAGTTCGTAGCTACTGCTTTGCTGCCACCTTTATGGAGTGGGGCTATATCTGTTGTTTTTAGTGACTGTGGAATCTCGCCTGTGTCTAAGCTCCTTCTCCATAGCATACTTAGGGCCCATGAGAGGGGTTTCTTGCAGTTTTTAATGAACACCGAGTTCCATGAGTTTGGGCCTGGGGCTGAGTGCATGGGCATGTCGTCGATGGCTTTCTCAAAGTCTAGTGGAGTTAGGGTTATGCCATAAATCTGGCCTACATTGGCATGGTTTTGAGTCTCATTCATGAAAAAATTGTTTGGATTGTCTATCTTTAAACTGGTTAGTGGCTCACTGAACACTGAGTCATACTGCAATTTCAGTATCTCGCTCATTTCTTTGTTGTCGTCTGTGTAGGATCCGTCTTGTCTGAGCAGGGGCCCTATACTAGAAGTGGTTTTTGACTTGTTTTTGGCATATGAAAAGAAATATTTCGAATTTCTTTCAATTTCATTAATCGCTTTTAGCTCCTCATCTCTCCTGGATCCTGTATGAGTCCTTTAACTTCAGCTCAATATTTTCCACTTCCCTGGTTAGCACTTCCTTCCGTGTATCAGATAATCTGGTGATAATTTATCATTATAATTATTTTTGTTATTTTTATGTGCTAAACCCATAATTGTTAAATGTCGTCTGGTTACTGAGACGCAAGTAGGGTTGATACAAGGAAAAGGAGCGCAGCTGCAGCCCCTTGGATCAAGAGCCCTTCACTGGCAGGAAGGCTAGTAATAATAGTGAGCTGGTTAGTGCTTTCTCATGTATGCCTCATACCCATGTTCCTGCCGCGAGACGTGCCATGACGCTGATGAAGGGCTCTTGATCCAAGACACTGGAGATACCCTTCCCCTTCCTCGGAATGTGCCTGAACGCCTTCCAATTCCCCAGTGGCTGTACTACCCCTACGAGTTTAATTATGAGTCTTCAGTCCTTTACATGCCCACCAGACGTCCACCCACTTGTTCTTCTCAGTGGCTAAGTTATTCACTGCTTGGTTGAGTGTTTATGTTCGTTGCTTCTACTGTTTGCTAATTTTATCCGTGTTTTCATTGCGTTTTTGTGTGCTGTCTATGTTCCTAATTTATGGCTATGATCGCTGAGTGACTTACTTGGTCGAACCTCCGTAAATATCATGACACCATCACCACCACCATCACTAATACTACTACTATACTGCTATTACTACCACTACTACTTCTACTACTACTACTACACTATTACTACCACCACTGCTACTACTACTATTAACACCACCATAACCACTACTACTACTACTACCACCACCACTACTACAACCACTGCTATTACTACTACTACTACTACTACTACTACTATCTCCACCACCACCACTACTACTACACCACAACCACCACCACCTCCCAACCACTACTGCTACTACCACCACCACTACTACTACTGCTACTACTACTACTACCACCACCACCCACTACTACTACTACCACCACCACTACTACTACTACTACTACTACTACTACCACCAACGCCACCACCACCACTACTACTACCACCGCTACTACTACCACCACCACTACTACCACCACACACTACCACCACCACTACTACACCACCACCACTACACTACTACTACACTACTACTACCACTACTACTACCACCACTACTACTACCATCACCACCACCACTACTACTACCACCACCACTACTACTACCACTACTACTACCACCACTACTACTACCACCACTACTACTACTAACCACCACCACCACCACTACTACTACCACCACCACTACTACTACTACCACCACACCACTACATATACTACTACTACCACCACCACTACTACTATACCACCACCACCACTACCACTTACCACACTACTACTACCACAAACCACCACCACTACTACCACTACCACCACCATACTACTATACCACCACCACCACCACTACTATACAACCACCACCAATACTACTACAACCACCACCAATACTACTACTACCACCACCACCACTACTACTACCACCATCACTACTATTACCACCACCACCACTACTACTACCACCACCACCACCACCACTACTACTACCACTATTATTACTACTACCTCCACCACTACTGCTACCATTACTATTACTACTATCTCCACCACTACCACCACCACCATTACTACTACTACTACCACCACCACCACTACTACCACTACTATTACTACTACTACCTCCACCACTACTACTACCATTACTACTACTATTACTACCATTTACTACTACTATTACTACCATTACTACTACTATTACTGCCATAACTACTTACCATTACTACTATTACTACCATTACTACTACTGTTACTACCATTACTACTACTGCTACCACCATTACTACTACTATTACCACCATTACTACTACTACTACCACCACTACTACTACCACCACTACTACTACCACCACTACTACTACTACCACTACTACTACACACCACTACTACTACTACCACCACTACTACCACCACTACTACTACTATTACCACCGCCACTACTACTACCACTACCTCCACCACAACTACTACTACCTCCAACACAACTACTATTACTACCACCACTACTACTACTACCACTACCACCACCACTACTACTACTACCACCACCACTACTACCACCACCACTATTCTGCTAATAACTATTTTTATTATTTAGTATTTACATCTTTAATTTCGGTACCTTCGGGAGAGCGACAATGACTCTTTAAAAACTTGGACTCACTTGTTCGTTAAAGCAAATAATAATAACAATAATAATAATATAATAATAATAATAATAATAATAATAATAATAATAATAATAATAATAATAATAATAATAATAATAATAATAATTGCTGTTCTTTGACAATTTAGCACCAAGCCCGTAAAGGTCATTTCAGTGTCTTTGATGTAAGGGATAATTAGGTTTGATTCGAGAAACGTGAACACAGCTCAGATTCCCTGGACCAAAAATCTTTCACCATTATCATAACAACCCCTTTGAAAGGTCGCTGGAGCAAATAAATCTTCATTAAATGAAGCAAATAAGTGCAGACATAGGCGGAGACGCAAGACCAGAACAGAGACAGACACAGACAAACACAGACACTGCCGCGTAGGTGGGGGTGTGGGTTAGTGTGGGACATAAACATGTCGCCCCCACCTGTGCTTGCCTCTTCGGGGACCCCCACCCCGGGGGACCCCCACCCCGGTGGACCCCCCACTACCAGGTCATACGCTCTCCTACGCTCACTCACACATCTCTCTACCTTGTCCTCTGCTAGTCGAGTACCGGCGTTATATCTGCCTTGCACAACATAGTATATAGAATAATAAATTTAAAAATGTACTTGTAAAAATACACAAATGAGTGAAGACATTATTTTAGTGTTATTTTGGTGATGGTAATAATTTACTGCCATCATGATCGTCAAGTGAAGCAATCGTGTCTACGTCAGTGTACATACATCTAGCTATTATTCATATTAATGACGGGTGTTGCTTCTATAAATATCTACTCTGGTTATCATTCAATTAATGAGGGGGGAAACGTGAGGGTAAATAAGCTATATGGCCACCGCCAGAGACCTCACCCTGGGCTGCTTCCCATGTTCGTACGGGCCGCGGCTTCCTCCGCCAGGCCCCAGTGTTCCCTTGACCATCGACGGGGAGAGGTTGTCGCTCTCTGGGCTCGCTCAGCTAAGCCATCTCTTTTTTGGCATCTTGGTGCTGTCTGTTTCTCGCTCTGAAGCTACGTGTGACGTTCAGCGACGGATGGATGTGCTTTGGTGTTTTGAGAGTGTTTATTATCCCCCACGAATGAAAATTAGTGGTAGAAAACACACATAGTATGTTTAAGTTGAAGTCTCCTCAATGAGGGGATATATTAAGACTGCGAATAAAGTGCGGTGACCTCTTGCAATGTTAGCTGCAGTGTAGTGTTTTTGTTTGTTTAAAGTGATAAAGCCTATAGCAAGGATTTGTCAATAGATTTGTTTTAACTCGATCCCGGCCGCATCCCCAAAACGACTGCACTAATAATAACGTAGGAAGAGTCATCTCATTACTGGGAAGCTGAAAACTGCATAATCTCACGAAAATTTCCTAATATCCCCGAGGTAACAGTGGAGGAAGAGGGCGTTATGTGAAGTGTTGTCGTGGAGCAGCATCCCTCTCATCTCCACCTCAGGGCTCGAGTATCACCTCAACCACCATCTCAGGGCTCGAGTACGGCCTCTACCACCACCTCAGGGCTCGAGTACCACCTCAAAGCTCGAGTACCACCTCGACAATCACCTCTGGGCTCAAGTACAGACGTCAAGCATATTTGAGCCACAAGGTGCTGGATATATTTAGTGATTGATTAGTGATGTGGAGTGGGTGTGCTACCTAGGGTTGCTGGGGAACATTATAAGTGCCAGGGAAGTGCTGCCTATGTACATAAAGTGCTACATACGTACATAAGTGTTTAATGTCAGGATGATTAGAAAATTGAACATCAGGGATACTTATTGAATTGCTTACATAATAAACTCGCCTAAAGTTTATGAAATTGACAAATAACCAAATTTTCAGTGGGAAATTCACACACAAAATAAGACGGAAAATCATTCTCTAGCGCCACTGCCTAGTGTGTGCTCCCTATCGAGGACCGGAGTAGTGCCAGAGAGATGACGCCTCGGCGGCTGGCACTGTGAGGGCCAACAAGTGCCTCTCCTCCTGGCGGTGTAGTGTGGAGCTGCTGTTATTATGTGTGACTGTGTGAGGGTCAGTGTGGGGCTAGCATCATGCACGTGCTGAAGATCCTACTCACAGGAACACTGTGTCTACTTACCTGCGGCGGCGTTGGCAACTTCGGTAAGTACCTCCCCTCCGAAAATCATCTTAGATCTACTGTATTCAAGCTGTTCTCAGTGTATACGTGATGTTCTGTAGCAGCCATAACCAATGGTCGCAATGTTGCCGTCCAAAAGATAAAATGTAGTTAATGTGTGTTTTTAACATGTAGTTTATATTCGATGTATTTGATGCAAAGAAGACTCCAAGACCTACTGAGAGCGTCACTCCCACTTGCAATGCCCGAGGGAATGTTTAACAACCTAAGGCATTCACCCGCCTGTTTTCGGCAGCCTTCTCCAACCTTCCCTCCCTCCAATTCCCTCTCGCCTCATCGAATCCCCTTTACGTGTGATTTGTGCTCGTTGTGCGTTATTCACCGTCTCCCACTGACCCCTCCATAACCTCTGATAGTGAGTCCTGTGAGGTATGGGAAAGGATGCCTGGTTTTTATTTGTTTTCGGCATTGCCTCGAGAGCCCTTTCGTATGTAGAATGTTTGAAGGGCATATATAAGCAGCGGGCGTTGATGATGCTCACATAGCATATAATTGGTGACATTTGATGCCGGCATTGTGTAGTTTATGGTGGCCGATAATGGTCCCGTTTTTTAATGGAAGAGGAGGGGAGGGAATATGACCTGGACAATACTGATGACGGGAATTTTATTTGGACGTATATATGTATAATTATTTGTATGTGCGAGAGTGACGAGTGTGTTTATAAACTAAAATATATATATATATATATATATATATATATATAATATAATATATATATATATATATATATATATATATATATATATATAAAGCCATAGAGGTGGTACTTCCCTATATTTTTTTTTTTTTAAAATATATATATATTATATATAATATATATATATTTTATATATATATATATATATATATATATATATATAATGTAGGTATTTATTTATTATGAAAATTCTAAAAGGTTTTGAATAATACTCGCTAGAATTTGGTTCAGATGTTTTTAGAAAGTGTTTGTCGCTTCTCGTAAATTCAAGTGTGAACGAAGTAACATTTTATTTAGTTTTTTTTTATGCATAAGCAAATTCTTAAGTACGCTCGTGTAGTATACACAAATTATTACATTATTAAATTAGATAAGTGAAGTTATTGTGGCCTATTTCCGTTAGGGAAGTTACTTAGTGTCACATTCGCAAAGTAAACACCACATATATATCGAAGGTTTTAAGGATGGTGGTGTTTTTTTCCCCTCCTAGATATCGGGATGTGTTGACCTGCAAAGCGGACTGGTACAGCAACACACACACTCAGGACATGCAGGTAGTGTTATCAGCCATATCTCCGGCTAGCAAGGCCGCTGCTTCATCAAGAGTAAATTGTCCTTCCTCTGGGGCATTCGCGCAGTTCTAAAGGGTAGAATCTGCCCTTACATTTACTCTGATGTCTAAGGACGAAAGTACACGAAGGATTCTTTTGTTTTTCACAGAGGCATTTTTATTTCGCCTTGTTCTGTTATCTTGACCCCTTGAAGGAGGTTTGTTGATGACGAGGAACTCTTGTTCCAAGAAATTGGACATGATTTTTTCCCTTTTCTTGGACTGAACTTGATGGTCTTCCATTTTCCCAAGCGCGGTTTAGTTACTCCCCTATATATATATATATATATATATATATATATATAATATATATATATATATATAAAAATATATATATATATATATATATATATATATATATATATATATTACACACGCATACGATTTAAAAAAATTGCAGATCCACCCACTCTTAATTATTAATGGCCTTGTGGACGAGGCTTTTGACCACAGTGACCCACCCATTTCTCGCCCCCTCCCTCCTTCCCATTGGAGATGTACCAAGGGAAACACATCCCTCCCCCCTTCCCACTGGAGATGTACCAAGGGAAACACATCCCTCCCCCCACCCTGTCACCCCCATCCCCTCAGGGAGTGACCCATAACTCATCTTTGTAAATCAGCTAGTCACCACAGTAAGCAAGTAAGTTTATTTAGGTACAGGTAGACGTAAGTATAATTACCATGCATAGTCTAACTCGCGTAAATTACAAAGGCTAACCCAAAAATGTCAGTGATATATTACCATTACCCAGTTAATAATAAGTTCTGTTCTGAGAAGATGACTGAATCTGTTCTGGCCTCACCCTTCAAATGCGAGTCTCTAAACGAGCCCCGGATGATGGGAGGATGTTTAGCAAGTAGTGCACACCCGGGATAGTGAAGGAGTCTAGTGCGTTTACACAAGCTGGAAATAGCCGTTGGGCTGTTTATCAGGTCGCCTAAACATGAGTTTGATGGACCCACCAGCCATAGGTGGCTGTATTTTTTAGTGGTATTAGGGATTATCAGTGATTCTTGAGTTCAGTTACTTGTTTTTAAGTGACTTGATTTTAAAGTGATTTGGTTTTAAATGATTTGGTTTTAAGTAATTTGTTTTTAAGTGATTTGGTTTTAAATGATTTGGTTTTTAAATTATTTGTTTTTAAGCTGT